CCGCCATATTCTCACCTTAATACTTGATTTTATTATTACTTAAAAAATATCATTATTATTAAAGGTCTTGATAGATAGATTTTAAAATTTAAATCTATTTCACAACTGATAAATACATTCTCATTGTCCGGTAGTGGTACGGGTGTTGCTTGTACCAGTACTTCTTAATGCGTGACGACTAAACCTGTTCACCTACCAGTGAAAAGGGTGGCTAGACATCCAGCAGAATTTCATGCAAGACCTGTCAAAGTGTGTATGAATCTTCTTGTAGGGTTGAAGACCATCTAGCACAAAGAAATAGACTGGGTTCTATAAGCAGCCTGTGCAATGATGACACGGCATCGCTGGGCGGAGGACTTCCACCGCTTGATCCAGTGTGTTTTACCGCTCGTCCACGAAGAACGAAGCAACAAGCAAGGTCCTATTTTCCCTGTTTTAAGGAAAATACATTGTCTTCACCCAGATTATTTTCTTGGGAGTTTAATATCTGCTGAGTTCCGTATTGGAAACATAAACAAATCAATTTCTAAAGAATTAATAGATCTATTCTTAATCCGATATTATGCAAAGTAATATGACCATTCCGAAAATCGTTGGGACTAATGATTTAAATTTTTTGACTTTAAAATGTCTTCTGTAATTTTGCGAAAAAAATCATAACCCTACCATGAATTACTCGGATCTCATTCTCTAAATTACATATGTTGTTTTACAAGTTTCCAGCCGATCTATTCTACAGGCTTCTTCATTTGTAGAATAAGTTTGCTTTTTACATAAATAACAAATAAAAGATATTATATAGACCACCTCGGTTCGTTTGCAGTAACACGAGCTACACTGTGATAACCATATGTAACACAGTGACTCGTGGAATATTATTTGACTAGTTGCTCTTTCGTCTTTATTCTTGCTTTTTTTCTCATAACATTCGTTACATTCTATGAGCGCTGAAGTAATCAGTGAAAATCGGAAATGTACTACTAGCCGGCGACGAGCATTGAACTTGCATGTTACCTACTGTTATACTGTTACATACTGGAAGGATATCTGCTGTGGACGTTGCATTTACCGAACTGGCCACGGAGGTTGAACGGCTAAAGCGAAGCCAAATCTAAAATCGCATAGTAACACTGACTTCCTACCTTTAAACCATCATCCCCCACCACTTCTGCCGCCTCCGTCGACGCCGCCGCCTCCACCACCGATCACGGCCAATAAATATTATTGAGCGCCTTGCTGAGGCACAGGCTCACGTCGAGCACTTTGATCAATAGCGACGCAGTCTGAGAAAAAGAAAGCCTCGTGAGGGACGCCGTCGGTAGGATGTGGTAGGGGTTGGAACTCGGCCGGCTTAGCAGGGGTCGGGGGAAAAGAAGCGATAAATACCTTGGTAGGGGTAGGTGATAGACGCTGTACATGGAACTTGCGATGAAAGTGTGCAGCAAGTCGGGGAGAGAAAGAAAATGGCGTCCAAACTGAATTGAAAAAGCGAAATTAATGTGAATAGATGCAAACAAGCAAAATGTCTCTGGATGTGCGTGTGTGTTTGTGCGAGAGACAAGGGGGTAAAGGAAAAAAATCTCTCTTGCTTTGTTGTACTGGCCCCCAGCGACGTACGGCCACATAGCATGTCTGCTTAGAGCATTAATCTTTCTTTCAATCAATCAATGCGTCTGTCTGTCTGTCTGTCTGTCTGGAGAACTGGCTGTCTTATACTGCTTATATCTTCCTATTTTAGACCTTTCATATCAATCTATCTATCCTTCCAGTTTCTTTGATATCTCCGTCAGCTCAAATCTACCTAGGTTTGTTCATTTATATCTGTCTCAATCCTTTTATATATATTTATCTATATATTTCACAATCTGTTCCTATCTTTTTTTTCTTTTATACAAGGACATGAGCCACTCTTACTTTGCTAAATTAGGTATGTGATATAAATAAAGTGTAAGAAGTGAAGATTATGAGGATATGGGGGACAGATAACGATTAACACTTGATGAAGAGGTTAAATTAAGAAAGCACCCAGGCAGGAGTTTGTTCCACAAATCAGTTGTTCTTGGGGAAAATAACTGTGTGGAACAATTTATTTCTGTTCATATGTAGGCATATATCTATCAAGTTTGTTGCATTTATGCAGGCCACATCAAGTTGAAAGACCAGTTCCCAGACGATCATCGAAGTTAAGCAACGTTGAACCTGATCAGTACCTAGATGGGTGACCGCATGGATGTGCGAGTGATGTAATGGATAATGAATCAGAATTGTTAATCGTGGTTCCAATTTCCGTTGGTTGATATTACCTTACGCACAAATCCCCCCCCACCGCCGAGAAAGCTATGAATCCGCATCTTCTCCTCCCAGCTATGGGTTAATTAGTAAGACTTGTATCACTAAACCATTATTGTCTCAAAAGAAATCTTACAATCTAAAAATATTTTCTGGGTTTAAATAATATGCAAAGGTTGATAAAACGTAGAAAATGAATCAACAAAACAATCAATCAATACTCATGTATGTTTGTTTATATATATATATATATATATATATATATATATCTGTGTGTGTGTGCATGTACATATTTCATTAAAACAAGGTATTCTGTTATGTTTTTATTGCGTTTTTTTTTTACCTTATCTTTTTTCTTTTTCTTTCCATTTTTTCTTGTATACGAACAGCAGGTTTCACTTTGGAATTTATTATGTGGAGAAAGCGTAAAAATGAAGTCTAAAAATAACAGAACTCATCATAAAAAAAAGCAAAAAATAAACCTTAACAGCATCACTTACGAACACGGTCACAATGCGCTGGCCGTATTCGGGAATTAAAAATACACCGAATTTCAACAACTTACAGACCATTTAAAATAGTACAACCATAATCCATGAAAATGCCTAACAGATTAACTGAAAACGCCAGGAACAACTAATCATTTGGACAATTTCAAAATATAATAAATCTGAAAAAGAAATGTCTTGTTCGCACGCAAGAAGAAAATACGCCTTTTCTGTCATTTTTATATAAAACATATATTACAGAGTGATTACTGAACAAATAAGCAACTATATATATATATATATATATATATATATATATATATATATATATATGGGTATATATATATGTATATATTTATATATGTATGTATGTATGTATGTATGTATGTATGTATGTATTAAAAATATACATAATACCCAACGTTGATTGCACAACTCAGAGTTGCGTGCCATTTGCGATCTTCAGGTGTACTTTTTTAAATACTTCTGCTTATCGCAAGATGTTTTATCGTTACCAATTCAACAGTAACATTTTTAAATGATTATTCCAGAGTTTATGATTATCGAGACGCATTTTTATAACCTGAAAATAAAATAATAGTTTTATTAAAAGAAAGTAAACAAAACAGCAATTTTTCTTAACAAATAACTCGCCTACAAAAACGCCTGATAATTATGCACCAACCCAATATAAATATATATATATATATATATATATATAATGATAATAATTATATATATATATATATATGTATATATATATATATATATATATATATATATATATATATATATATATATATTATTATTATTAATATTATTATTATTATATAGCAATAATATCAAAACTCGCTACGTAGGTTTACATATCGTAACAAAATGGTCAGCCGGATAAAGTTTGAATTTAATAATTTATGATAATTTATGCGCCTGATTGTTGTGTTACCGCATGAAACTGCGGAGCTAATTTCGATATTGTTGTATTAATAATATTATTATTATATTTTATATGTAGAGTCTGTGTATTTCGTATTGAGCCTTCGGTTTATTTCAGATTTTTAGATTTTAGTTTATATTTTTAATCTTCATATATATATATATATATATATATATATATAGTTCCCAGTCTCGCTAAAATAAAAATTTAACCGTCAAAATGTTTATGTTATCATTAAGAGAAAATAATAAATGATATTTTTTTCTATTATTAAATTATATTTTGTTGCTTTTTAGTACGTTCGAAATTTTGATTAAATATCTTGTTTTTCTTGCGTAATCAGGGAGCAAAGATTAGTTTAGGAAATTTTAGCATCTTTTTTGCAGAGAAAAACAATGATTTGGAAATTCTCGCAAAAATCAAATCATTGTCAGAATTTAATGAAACAAATGAATGAAATTATTTTTTAAATGTTTCTCTTATAGAAAAACTTAGTAAAAACAATTTTAATTGTTACTTCCACCAATCACTTATTTAATTTTATAAAATTTCGAGAAATTAAATTTTGTACACCTTAATGTTTATGTTAGTTATAAGCAGAGTGTTAGTATTTATTTATATATATATATATATATATATATATATATATATATATATATAAAGATAGAGAGAGAAAGAGACGTGTGCGGAGAAGGACAGGTGGGGAGAGAGAGACGGGGAGATGCACGATAGAATAAAGAACAAATAGAACACATTTATTATCCTATGATTCAGTCGGATTCCAATCCATATTTGATATTTATCTGATCTCATTATGTATGCATATGCAGGTTAATGTTTGTACACGAGATATCATCAACAGTTCTGGGTAATTGAATGAACAAAATGGCTCTGAAAATCTGTTCAAATGTCTATATCTCAACCATTTCAAATATCTTCTGATAGTTTCCTATTCTTTAAAAACGTGTTTCATATCTGTCCATCCTTTCGTCCATCTCAGTATTTATTTCATCTGTCTCACCTTTTCATGTCTATTAAGTCGCCCATGTTATACATTTGGATACATTAGGACGCCGAAAAGTTTTACATTAAAGCGATATATCCTAAGCCTTTGTACATGTAAAACTGTGACCGACATTTGATGCATTCATTTCCCATTTATAAGATTTAATCGGTGCAACCATTATTCGACTGAAGAAGTCCTTTCAAATAACGAAACGCGTAATATAGGATTTTTCTATTTGGTCATTCAATTATACACTTTTAATCCGATACACATATTTTTTATGTTCTATCTATCTATCTATCTATCTATCTATCTATCTATCTATCTATCTATCTATCCTCAGTCGCCTCATACCTATCTATCAGTCTATTCATATCTATCTATTTATTTATTTATCTATCTGTCTATCTATCTCGTTCTGTTCGTATCTATCTATCCATCTATCTATTTATCTATCTTAGTTTTTTCATGTATATATATATATATATATATATATATATATATATATATATATATATATATAAATCATAGTCTATTCCTATCTATCTATCTAAACAGGTTTAATATCTAGCTAGCTAGCTAGCTATCTTCAGCCTGTTCGTATCTACTTATCTTCAGTCTATGGAAGACGCTAAGTGAAGAAACATTACATACGGGGCTTTAAGAATATTTTAGAGTCGTTCTTATATTGAAAATTAAAACTTAATTATATTTTCCCTCCACGTTACAAAATAAAATGTCCACATTTATCTTGATAAGGTTCCTCAGGGGACGAAAATCTTTGGCAAAGAAAATATTTTCTTTTGTCTTAAAAGTTTTCTTGATATATATATATATATATATATATATATATATATATATATATAGAATCCGACGGTTGAAAAATTATATATTGTTAGTACTATGAATTCTTTTAAGACTAGGTGGTATCAACATATATTTTCTTTTACCAATACTACTTAGAGAAATAATACATCACTTTCTAAATATCTTTGGAGTTTAAAAGATGATAATAAGACACCTAAGGTGAAATGGAAATTTTAAAACATGACAAGGACATGTAGATCTTTATATGAACCCTGTTTTCTGTGTTTACATGAAAAACTCGAAATCATCAGATTTTTTGACAAAAATTCATTGTTAAATCGAAGAAGTGAATTAACAATAAATTGTAAGCATGATTACCTTTTACCTTACAATTTAGTTAAACTTTGAAATTTGATAATGCTTTTTCTTATATTTTAGTCGTGCAGTTTTGCACTATATATAGCTTATCTTTTTATTTGTAAGATTAATCTGGATTTAATATAATTTTGTATTAATTTCCTGGTAGTATTGGTAATATCTTGTACAGATGTATTGGTATTTGGTGGCCATTTTTGAAATTTTACATTGATTGGTTAGTGTTCTTAACATCTTATATGAAGGATCTTTATTTAACAGTTGAATATTAATTTACAAAATATTTCTATATGTTTAACTTATCATTATTGCAGGCGCCTACTAAGGCATGTTCATTTCTTTAACACACACAGTCTCAATCTGTGTTTTATAATGATGAGTCGTCCTTAGTTAGGGTTTCTGAGATAAAGTGCATAAGCTGGTAAAATCTGCAGTTGAACAAGTCCTGCGCGCTCAAAAGTCTCGATCACGACAACATGGGACTTTGTGCTAGCACAATCATCGACGCCTTCTGAACAAGACGTGGGTCAACCCGTGATATAGATTTCAGGCACATCCTAACAGTGCCACACGTTGGGATTGTCTCTCCAGGCCGTTTTATGAAGAAGTGACCGCTTTGACTAATCGAAAAGAATAGTATTTGAACCTGGATCGCATATCTTTTAATATTGTTATGGTCCGGTTCCTTGTACCACGAAGGTAGACGGTAGAACTAATAAAGAAGAACTCGAACACGTATATGGAATAACACAGATATATTACAAACAGGGATATATACAGAGAAGTAGAAAGGGTTAGTACGAACAATCAGGCTTAGTAGTAATTGTCTGAACGCGACTCTGTTTCGGACTGCCTCTGACTCGACTGACTGACTCGCTCGCTCTGAATGACTGACAGACTCCTGACGGACCCTACTCCAGACTTCAGACTTAACTCTCTGCTTCCTCTTGAGGCGCAGTATTTATTACGTATGGAATAGTCCATTATGTTATTATGGGTAAGGTTCCATAACAAATATTTATATCCGTTCACATCTTTCTCTCTCCGGCTTTCTATATACGCACAAATACAAACCCGTACATATGTCTCTTCATATCTATCTATCTATCTATCTATGCATTTATCTATGTAAAATTTCAGATATAGTACATCTTTGAAAGGACAATAAGAAAAAGGACAAATTGAAAACTTTTCTTCGCTGACACGTTTCGTTCTCTTTTCGTTATAATTTGTCTTGATAGTCACTCAGATGTCGAAACGCGTAAGTTTTCTTTTTGTCTATCTATCCTTGTATCTATCTGTCCGTCTGTCTGTCTGTCTCATTCTGTCTGTTTCTATGTCTCAGTCTTTGAAAATCTTTCTTTATATCGAAATTGTTCATATTTTCCTATCTCAATACTTTTCTTAGTCTGTTAAAATCTGTTTTTTTTTTTCGTGATATAATAAATTGAATAAACAGCCATACCTTTCATAAAGGTGGTAAACCATGTGTAATTTCATCAAGAATTGGATAATGCTGCTTCAAAAAAGAAAAAAAACAACATTCAAAGCCTAGGCTTGAACCATAAACATTAGGAGTGTTGTTCATTTCATACCAAGTGGCTCCCTGGGTTCCACAGTATGCTATGTGTTATGTACCTTACCTATGAACACTAACGGGGACACTATGGTAATATGGTGTCTATGTAGTCCAACACTTGCAGTGGTTTCCCTACTTCACGCCGCTGGCGAGTATTGTATTTTGTTGATGTTATAAAGATTACCATTTCATTTCCAACCTCCGTTTTGGTTATTCCTCATTCAGTTATCCTTTCTAGGTTACAACACTATGCTTATAAAATAATGAAGCAACACCTGCATTGGAGTATCTCTAAGATCCACACCGGTTTTCATGCTCTGAAAATGGTAAGAACGTATCGTAATGGTGTTCTGTGATTATGCAGAACGTTTCACCTCCCATCTGATGCAAATGGGTCACGCGTAATTTTCAAGGGTTGCGAAAAATAATACTTCTCGCTTTATATAACAATAATATGAACAGAGTCAGAAAACCAAACCGCTTCTCCAAATACCAAAATAGTTGCCAATGGAAATAACAAAAGCTTCAAACTTTCAACCGTCATGTTTTTTTTTTTTTTTTTTTTTGAAGCTCCATTATCATATCATCTCTCTCTCTCTCTTTAATATTTTGTTTATCGTATGTCCTCTCTCTATTTTTGTTGTTCTATCTCTCTTTTTTATTCTTTCTGACTCTCTTTTGCTCTCCCTCTCGTTCCTTTAATCCAGATCTCTCATTCTCTTTCAATTTGATTTTATTCTTATTCTCTTTCTGCTTTTCTCTTTCTTTTTCTTTTCTTGCGTTTTTCTCATATTCATTCAAACATTCATCTTTCATTCTAGTGTTTTATTCTCTTCTTTATTTTCATTCTTCCCTGTGTTCATTTTATATTCCTTTCTTTTCCTTTCTTCTTCTCACTTATTCAATCTCTTCCTACTTAGTTCTTCTCCCTTTTCTTCTTTTCCTATTATTGTTTTTATTTTTCCCGCTTTTCTCTTTCCCTTGTTTCACTTCCTCTCTCTAGCTGCTTATTCATGCGCTATTTATCACCTTTTCTTTTTCTCCTTTTCGAAACCTTTTCTTTTTAAACAGTCAACTTCTTTTTCTCCTTTTTTCTTTCTTCTTTTTCTTCTACTTTTTTCTTCTTCTTTCTCTTCTTCTTCTTCAGCTTATTCATGCGCTACTCACTGCCTCCTGTTTTTCTTCATATTTTTCTAAACCTTTCCTTTTTACTCAACTTTTTCTCCTTCATCGTCTTCTTCTTCTTCTTCTTCTTCTTCTGCTGCTGCTTCTTCTACTTCATCTTCTTCTTCTTCTCTTGGTATCTGATTCTTTTGCCTTCACTTCTCCGCGTCGAAAACATCGTACATTCTTTTCACCTCTCAGCAGCACCTCCCCAAAATCCCACTGAATCGGGAGCCGCCCTCTTACTCAAACCCCTTTCTACCAACTACCCAACGTTACCCTGAATACTCATTCGTTTCCTCATCTTCCTTCACCATCTGACCCTAATAACAAGCCAAAAAACCATAACGCCACAACCCCCATCCTCTAACCGGCACCTCACTCTCAAAACCACAAAGACAAGTAAATGGGGATAGAATCTGCCGCATCTACGCACAAGTCGAACCTTTTCTTCCTCGTCTCTGTTCCCCATCCCCTATCGTTTTTTTTTTCTCTTTCCCCTTTAAAAATTGTATTTATGCGAGTCATACACTCTTTGATTAACCCTTGTTCACCCCGAGTTGGCCCCTGACGCTTTTAGTGATTGCCCTTCACCGATTGCATTTTCTATTATATCAACCAGAAAACCTTTTCACGTTCAAAACGGTCTACATTTGATGTCTCTTCTTTTAATTATTCTGGTTACCTTAACATAAAAATTTTCACACGACTCTTCTTCTTCTTCTTCTTCTTCTTCTTCTTCTTCTTCTTCTTCTTCTTCTTCAGTAATCATTGAGTTTTTGAAACAATAATAACTGCTGCCCAACTGGGGATCAAGTGGCAGCGAGTCTCTTTCATATTCCCTAGAAGTGGAAACCCTACCGGCATTTAGCATTGGTGGCCACAATCTTAACAACATAATATACGCAGATGACAGAGTACTGATAGCAGACACCGAAAAGAAATTACAAAATCTCCTATAAAAGGTAGGACTAAGCACAAACTACAAGAAAACAGAATGCATGGTCATCAGTAAAAGGATGAGCCCGAAATGCGATTTACAGGTCGGGGTCACTAAAATCAAACAGGTGCGGAATTTTAAATATTTGGGAAGCATTTTGACAGAGGACGATAAGTACGACACTGAGATCCGTAGACGTATTGGGATGGCCAAGGACATATTCCAAAAGCTGGACAGAGTATTTCGAGACAGCAGGATTTTTTAGTAACAAAGAAAAGAACACTGAGCTGTTACGTGACATCTGTCCTCCTTTACGGCAGCAAATGTTGGACGATTTCCTCAAAGATGAAGAAGAGATTTGAGGCGACAGAGATGTGGTTCTACAGGAGGATGCTAAGGATATCATGGACCGAGCGTATGAGCAGCGATGAAGTCTTAGAGTGTGTGCAAACGAGGAGGCTTAGACTTAGCCTCAGGAAGAGACAGCTGAAGTTTCTGGGACACATAATGAGAAAGGATGGCCTTGAGATACTCACGGGTTGAATATAGGGAAAGAGTGACAAGGGAATACAACGCATGACATACGTGGCGGGCTTAAGCAAGTGGATGACAGAACGTGATTTGTGGGAGGAAGCGGAGGGAAGGAAGTTGTTAAGAGCTTCAAGGGAGCTTCAAGGGATAAAGGGAGGTGGTGAGCCATGATCGCCTACGTCTTGAAAGAACATGGCACATAAAAAGAAAGAAGAATTATAATATCATTCATTCACTGACCGTCAGTCCTGGGTATGACGATAAACTATATCCGGCATTAAAGCCCCTTAGGAGATTAGAGGTTTTGATGAGCGTGGAATCACATCTTGTTTCCAGGTTAGGGTCCCAGGTATAGGCAAACAATGAACTCCCAAACAAAAACAAAACACTATGAAAGTATAAAAAGTACATTTTATAGTAAAATTACTGACAATACATTTTTATATAAAAATATTAACAATACCTATTTATTGAAAAAAATTATCGATACAGTTAGAATTACCAACAATACATTTTATCTGTAGTTGAAGGCATACAATTACTTTCAAAATATATTTAGTTGAAATCATAAAATTGTGTTCAAAATGTTTAGATATCGGCATTAAATAACCCATAGAGACGTTGATATGCCGCTAAAAAACAACCAATCAACAATTCACTAACCGTCCACACCCGTCGTAGCTGATGATCTGACTGGACCCCATGTGACAGCCAAGTCGCACTCAATACTCCAGCATTCCTTAATTTTCAGTTCACAGTGCTCCGTTAACTACTGTCACCCTCATTTGACACAATTTCCTCAGTTCTCCGACAAAGCCGAGATAATTGTATGTCTTTTCACTTTCTTTCAGATTTTCTCTGTAGTTTACCAGAATAAATTCAATGTCAGCTTTTCTCTTTTTGTTTATTGTTACAGAATTCGTTCTTGTGGCGTGGATTGGGTCGTTCGTTTGAATTTCAAAAGCTCCAGAGGATTTTATGTGTTTCATTCTTTGGGAGACATTTTGTATTGTGCATATGTCATTGAGCTGCGAAATCGAAACGTAGTCACTTGCACAGTTCGCAATGAATCGCCTTTATGACTCACTCACTGTATTCTTTATGAACCAACTTGATACATTCGCTGATTATGTGACATCTACAATTGCTTGTAACCTGTCAGCGATTTGAATATTATTATTATTATTATTATTATTATTATTATTATTATTTCCTTTGGTTTCTAGTGTATACTCATTTCTTTCCTGGTTCCAACCAGAGACTTAAGGTACGAAATGGCAGCATGACATTTTCCACTGAGCATTTTTTTAATACATTTTACATAGATAAAGCCCTTCGTGAGGTGTGAGCTGTACTTGTGAGTACCATTTTTTGTATTTCTTTAAAGTTTGGGCTACTAGGGATCCCATCAATGAGTCTATCGGAGCCTTTTCCAATCAAACCGAGGGCTTCAACTACAACTGCAATTGTTATCCTTACGTGTCACATTTTTGAGATTTCGATTTCAAGGCCCGTGTACTTTGAGAGTTTTTTGAAGAGCTTCGAAGATTTTTTTTTTGTTTTAAACAATGATCTATTTAGTCTACCTATAAAGAATGTTTTTTCTTAAAATGTTATTGCGTATATGGAGAGAGTTTTTTTTCTGAAAGTATGCGCACAATCTTTCGTACATCAGACAGTCATAGGATTCCTACGATTTTCTTAACGTGTGCATCAGAAATCTTTTTAATCATTCACAATTCCTCGATTACTAATGGACCATTGGTGGAATTTAAATGACATTCTTTTAATTTCTCTTTTCTTCTTCTTATAATTTGAAAGTTTGTCAAATTCTTTTGCTGAGATAATCAGACGGGGAGGCCATATATATAAAAGAAGCACCTTAAAATTTTTAAGGCTTTTCTCATCGTATCTGGTCTGTTGTCTTTTATCGTATATAAGTATAGTATTATAGGCACGGTGGAGTACTTAAGAGCGGCTCGAATTGAGGAGTCGGAGAGCCGAGTTCAAATTCCAGTCGAATCCATTACATTCATTTATGCACTAATACCCTTGGGAAGGGTATGAATTCTCTTCTCCACTCCCAGCTATGGGTAAATAGCAGGACAGAACGGGTTCTATAGCCTCGGATAGTAACTGGTCTACCGCAGAAAGAAATGGCAACCTACTGCGGGAAAAAATCTGCCTCATCAGTCATGTATCGAAAGATACATGATCACCTAAGCGTGTATCCCGTATGGCACATAACTGATTGATATATGTTGACGGCTCAATGTTTATTATTATTGAGGGAGAGAAAAGCGCGTTCACGAAGCTTTGAAAGCAAGAGGCGCAGAGGAAATCAGCCTAACATACAAGTGTGTGTAAATCGATGGCAGAACAGGGACGGGTGGGGAAAAACAAGTCTTACTACAAAGATACGATGTCATGATCGACCACGTCCTGAAGACTCATGGCTTATAAAAGAAGATTATGCAATTATACTATTATTTCTAGTATTCAGGGGTATCTGGGAAGAAATTATTTTCTTCCCAAATACCCTCGGCTGAGTTTTCTATTTGGGAGGATAATAATAGGTGGGATGCCAATACGGTAGGTATTTTTACTAAATTGTTCTAATCAACCATTAATATGCAAATATTTTCTCTACAGTATTATTAAACGGAATATTATATTTTCTTTTTTAAAAATCATTTACTAAAATAGTGATTTTCCAATAGTAGCTTAGATGTGGCACAAGGCCAAATGTAGGTAGCATCCAGTGAGGATCAAACTCACTATTCAGGCATAATCGTTTCAGAGAAACAGGCTTGCTATCCATTACACCGCCTCGAGGTTATCAAAAGGGAAGTTTCAACGCCAATGTGGTGCTCTTTCTTCCACGTATGGCTCAAATACCAAAACCGGGAATGAATCTTCAGTCTAATGCTCTGCCAACTGAGTTATTTCGATTGGTCAGTTATTTTCTAAGCGTAGCTTAGATGTGACACAAGGCCGAAAATATGGAGGATCTAGTGAGGATCGAAATCATTTTCAGTCGGAACTGATCTAGCAAGATAAGCTTGCTAACCATTACCCCATGTCGAGGTACCCTAATCATTCATTAGAAAAAGACTTCTAAAATAAAAGTACAAAATATCATTCAGTTTCTACGACATTAAATTTATACATTTCAACAAATATATGACTCTTGTAGATCGTATGCTGTTTCTATATTTCTATTCCATTGTTATTGAATACGTTATCTTACCTTTTTATTTAACAGACGATAACATTGATAAGATCTTCTTAAGATCTTCTCTAAGGACAACAACAACAGTTCTTTTGTCTTGCTCTTCCTATTTACCAATTTTCAATCATTACGTCCCGATCTCCCAGATTTTCTGTTTATTTTCTGAAGAAATGTTCATCTTCTGGAATCGATAAGGTTGTCTTTCTTATCAAAGTTTGATTACAGTGTCTTATCGGTTGCTAACTTACTGACAGGTGATAGCCTGTTTACCTTACATCTGAGGATCTGCGATCAACACATCAAATTTATTATATTAAAAAGAATTTTCACCTTTTTAGAGTCAGACTTCTGTCAGAAGAGCGCATAACTAAAAACGGTGTGTATAAAAAGGCTCCACTAACCACGGTTGAAGAACATCGAAAAACTGAGAAGGCACTATAAAACTAAACTGAGTTGTTCATGTGTGAAAAGAAAAGAGAGTCACGAATCTCTTTAGAATTATATTAGAACAATAGGAAACAATATTGTAGAATACAGATATCTAAAGAATTAGCACAGATGCTATGTTTTGATAACATGTT